TATTTTGTTTATCCATCTATTGACAGACACTTGCGTTGTTTCTACCTTTTGATTATTGTGAAAAATGCAGCAATGAATTACAAGTATCTGTTTAAAGTCCCTGTTATCAAGTTGTTTGTGTATATAACTAGGAGTGGAATTGCTGAGTCATATGGTAATTCAAAATTCTAAGAATTCTAAGAGGGTTCCAATTTCTCCATATTGTCATTAATACTTGTTATTCTCTCTGTTTTTGATTCTAGCCATTCTAGTGAGTATGAGGTAGTATCTTATTGTGGTTTTGATTTGCATTTTCCTAATGACTAATAACACTGAGCATCTTTTCATGTGCTTATTCAGCTGCCTATTTTCATATGTAAATGTTTATTGAAACATGTCCACATTCATTTCTGTACCTATTGTCAATAGTTCCTTTCATCCTGTAACAGCAGAGTTGAGTAGTGATATAGTTTGGATATATGTCCCCTCCTGTTAAAATTTGATCCCCAGTGTTGGAGATGAGGTCTAGTTGGAGCTATTTTGGTAATGGAGATGGATCCTTCATGAATATCTTGGTGCTGTCCTCGTGGTAATGAGTTAAGTTCTTGCTCTATTAGTTCTCATGAGAACGGACAGTTAAAACGAGCATGACATCCCTCTCCTTTCTTTCTTGCTCCCTCTTGCCATGTGACATGCCAGCTTCCCTTCACCTTCTGCCATAAGTGAAATCTTCTTGAAGCCTTACTGGAAGCATATGCTGGCACCATGCTTCCTGTAAAGTCTGCAGAACCATGAACCAAATAAACCTCTTTTCCTTATAAATTATCTAGCCCCAGGTGACCTTTTGTAGCAACACAGACTAAGACAAGTAGTAACAGAAATTATATGGCTTCAAGTCTACAATGTTCATTAATATCTTACCCTTTAAGAAAAAGTTGCTGACTTCCACATTAGACCACTGAAAAGCTGAATATATTTAAAAACATTAAAATCATTCAAAGGATGATCTTTGCTCAAAACAGAATTGGATTAGAAATCAATTCTAATTCAAAAATCAATTCTAATAACAAAAATAGAAAATCTAAACGATTTGGAAATTTGAAATAATTTGGAAATTAAACAACACATTTGTAAATAACCCATGGGTCAAAGAAAAAAATCACAATAGGAAATTTTAAAAATATTTCTAACTTAATTTAAAAACATATCAAAAGTCATGGAATATAGCAGACCAATCAGTACTTAATGGTGAAAGAATGAATGCTTTTTCCCCAAGATTGGGAATAAGGCAAGGATGCCCACACTTGCTGCATGCATTCAATGGAGGTTCTACTGGAGGTTCTAACCAGAGCAATAAGGCAAGAAAGATAAAGGCATACAGATTGGAAAGGAAGAAATAAAATTGTCTTTAATTACAGATGATATTATAAGGAATCTGAAAATAAAATCTGGAATTGATAAGTGAATTTTGCCCCATTGTAAAACACAACCTTATGCAAAAATCAGTTGTGTTTCTATATAACAGTAATTAACAATCCAAAAAATGACATTAAGAAGTCAATTTTATTCACAATAATATTAAAAGGAGTACCTTGCAATATGTAATACAATAAGTACAATATCTGAACACTAAAAGTGATAGAACATTGCTGGAAAAAATTAAAGAAAATCTCAATAAATGAATATTCTAATATTGTAAAACCAGATTATGAGATGGTTTTACAAATCCATAATTTAATAAAAATAACTAAGCAGTACACTGACAATTAGTGAATTTTATGGTATATAAATTGTACCTCAATAAAGCTTATTCAAAAAATAAGATTTTTTTTAAAATGACCTTTTTGAGTACAGTATCAGTCAAATTTTAGGTTTACGTTTTTGAAATAAAAAACTAAGAAAATGTGAGATTTTATTAAAAGTAAGATATTTTAGGTTTCTTCAGTCTCTACCTCTTAAAAAACTGAACATTCATCATCATAGATTTTTAAATTCAAAACCTTCAAAAATACAATTTATGTGTCACCATTAAAAAGAAAACTTGGATTGTGTATTTTGTTGATGTTATTTGTTAAAGCTATTATGTATTATGCTGGTTACCATCAGAAGGAGAAAATAGAATGTTGTGAATCTCTATAAGTTATACTTATTTCAATAATTGGCATGGCAATAGAGCAGTTGAAGAATTTTCTCCATTTGATGAAAGTTGGCAATTAGCAGATTTTCCACAGCAAGGGACCCTTTAATATTGCTGGTCTTCTCAGTGTGAAAAATTCACACATCACATAATCCCTCTATTAAATAGCTTCCTCTTAGGTGGGGAAGTCCCCTGTGAAGCAGCACCTGTCATGTTAATTTTATACTTATTTTTAGAGAAATATGAATTAACATTTTTCTTAATTTTGGTTCTTTTAGGGAATGAAGTTTTAAATTTGCATGATTTTAATCTTTTTTTTTTTAGAAGAAAGGGAAATAATAAAGCAACTTTTGACATAGGTACTTTTGTACCTATTGATAGTCTGACCCTCTGTCTTTGAAGTGCATGCATAGAATTTCAGAAGAAATTTAAATGTTGTCTTCATTTTTGTATGCCTATCTTCTTTGAAAGCTCCTTAATGCTCCAGAGTGCTCTTCACACAATGACAATAAAGAGTGGTAAATACCACCAGGTATTGGAGTAAATAAATGCTCAGGACCCAACTTACATTTTCTAAAACTCTTGCCCCCACCACTTTCTTGGTCTTGAGTAGGAATCTAGGCAACTGATAAGGATATTTTGCCTGGAATATTTTCTAGTAGCAAGTGATCAGGTGGACAGCCCTTTTTTAACAGCAGTTTTTTCAGGGAGGATAATGGCAGCTAATGCTGCCAGATGGCAAAGGGATCCTCAGATCAGAGATCTTAGGGTTAAGAACAGGAAGAGGTTAGAGACCATTTAGTCAAAAGCAGTCATTTTATAGAAGAGAAAACTGAAACTCTGGAAGTTGAATGGACTCACTCAAGGTTAGTAGAAACTAACAACTTTCTACCTGGTATCTGTCCCCTCTTCTTCCTTACGAACAAATCCTTGATTTTGTTTAGAGTGGCAATGTTCCCAGAACAAAATAATCACCTCCCCAGCCTTCCTTGGAGCTAGGGGTGCATATTACCCATTTCTCACAAAGGTGTAAGTGGAGGTCACTGGATGGGGTTGGGGGAAGCTTTCTAAGGGGTAACAAATGCCTTGTGTGCTCTTTTGTCTCTCTCCCTCCTGCTTGTAATGCAGACATAAGATTTGTTGTTCAGCTCGAACACTGTGGTTTTTAATCAGGTGCCAGAATCCATTCTGGGCGTGAAAAAATGTTCACATTTAGAGCAATATCTCTTTCTGGTAATCCATCAAGTGTTGCTAACAGTAGGCAAGGACCCATTTATGGATGCTACACACCTTAATTGAATTCTACTAGTTTTCCTGTGGGTGCAAAGAGTATACACGAAGTTCTACAGAACTTAAGAGGGACAAGAAGCTTCCAGCTGTATATCCAAGAAGGATTATGATTGTGTCTTGCCTCCTACAGAGCCCTAACTGTGAACATCAGCATGTTAACTTTTGTTGCTTGTTCTAAGGGGTTTTCAGCACCAGCTCGTAAAGGAAAGTAACACACTGAAGAAGCAAAGTTCTGGTAGAACAACAGTTACAGAGCAACACTATTGGAGCTTTACGAAGAGGTGTGTTGAAAAAAGAAATGTGTATAGTTCTGGATTTCTGGACCAGAGTGGAGAAGTTAGAAAATGAGAAAAGGAAGAGGCAAAGAAGAAAAATCCCCATGTCTCTTTAAGCCTGCAAAACTCTTATACACTTGCCGGGCGCGGTGGCTCAAGCCTGTAATCCCAGCACTTTGGGAGGCCGAGACGGGCGGATCACGAGGTCAGGAGATCGAGACCATCCTGGCTAACACGGTGAAACCCCGTCTCTACTAAAAAATACAAAAAACTAGCCGGGCGAGGTGGCGGGTGCCTGTAGTCCCAGCTACTCGGGAGGCTGAGGCAGGAGAATGGCGTGAACCCGAGAGGAGGAGCTTGCAGTGAGCTGAGATCCGGCCACTGCACTCCAGCCTGGGTGACAGAGCGAGACTCCGTCTCAAAAAAACAAAAAACAAAACAAAACAAAACAAAAAAAACTCTTATACACTTACCTGTAAAATAGGTCATTTCGACACACCTGCCCACTGTTGCTGAGTGCAACGCAGACTCTGCCAACTTGCTTAAGGAAAGTGGTTTCACAAACCTTGTGGTAAATCTTATTCGTGTCTAATCTAATTATTGCTGGCAGCGTTTTTCTTTTCTTTTTTTTTTAAAGAAAAAAAATCAAGCCTTTAATCGCAAAGACTGCCTAGAGCAGAGTGATAGACTGGGACTGACTTTGTTCAGCCAAGTTTTCTTTTGAGGAGAAGCAAAGATATGGTACGGTCTGAGGCCATTTCGGCTGCAGCCTCCTAGGGAAGCTGCTGTTATAAAAAGAAGTACAGAAATATAAGAAGCATGCACTGAACGCTTTAACTCAACCAACGAAACAAATAATTTAAAAAGTGCGCTTGTGGTAACTAAGGGTGAGAGTGTCCAGGAACCTGGCTGACAATTTTTTTTCCTTTTCTTTTCTTTCCTCTTCTTCTTCTTTCTTCTTTTTATTCTTTTTTCTTTTCTTTTCTTTTTTGTTATTGTTAAGGGAAAGCTGAGTATCAAAAGGATATGGAGATACAATTGGCCTTATACACTTAAGTGTTTAAAATACAGTCCCTGTATTTGTTCTCATCTCAGAAGCGCGGGGCTTGGTCTTTATTACCTATTGGATTTCAGGAAGGCTGACTTGAGATGCGCCGTTGCCATTTCCTGGCCTTCACTTATGTATTTATTTATTTTCCGGCGCTGGCAGTCAGCCCCTTTGTTACGCCTCCTCTGCATTTATTTCTGCCTGCCCTCGCACCTCCAGACAGTGCGATGGGGCTTTTTTCCAGATCTTCGCGCCGAGAGCCCGGGACGGCCAACCTCCAGGCATGCGATAAAGGCCGGGGAATGTCGACCTGGGGCCGCGCTGGGCACCCGCTTTGTGTGCGCGTTTATTTGTCTCCGCTGCGGTCCGACCGCGGCCGCGACCCCCGAGGAGGCGGGGCCTCCGCGCGCCCGGCTCCGCCTGGTGAGGGTTTCACGGCCGCCACCGCTGCCGCCGCCCTCGTTTGTTCCGTTAGATCGCCCAGCCCCGATCGCTGCACCCAGATCCTAGCAAGCCGGGCGAGACTGCCCAGGAGCCCTCGATGGCTTTCATTCCACCCAAGCCCGCTTCTTACTTTCCCCGGCGCTTTCTCACTTTTCCCGGTTAACAGCTTATGGGCGGGGAGCTCGGCAAAACTCAGACTAAAAACAGAAAAAGAGAAAAGAAAAGACAATTTCGATATACCCGCGTCGGTCCTCCAGAGTTTGTGAAGGGGCGTAAACATGTCGGAGTCTGGGGAGATGAGTGAATTTGGCTACATCATGGAATTGCTAGCTAAAGGCAAGGTAAGTGATGGGACGCGGGGCGCCGCGGCCTGGGCCCCGGACTCCGGCACTACCTGGCCTGCCACTGTGGGCGTCCGTGTTCATTCCAGCGCCTGGGAAGGGCGGGAGGCTGGAATCCAGGGGCCGCGCTCGCAGCCCGGGTGTCCCAGCAGCTGCGGAATGCAAAGTAGCCGCCTTTTCTTTATTGCGTGGCATCTCTGAAATAAGCCAAGAGGGGACTTTCGGGCGCTTTGGGGGCCAGCTGGGCAGCAGTAGGGGCTCCCGGACGCCGAAGGGCGAGAGCCCAGCGTCAGAAGATGGAAAGGAGGGCGGGGCGTTGGCCAAGGGGGCGCTCCCTCACGCAACCAGGGCTCCCCAAGCGTGGTGACTTCGAGTGGGTGACCTCGCCTGTCTGGGCGCGGAGCGTGGAGGGAGGGTCCGCCCAGCGAGTGAATAGGCTCGGAGTGTGGGATCGGGGTCAGCCCGCAGTCAGAGCGTATGGCCGGTAAATAGGGACAGCACCTTCGTTCGCCCTGCGCTGGCCTTTTCAGGCCTCCTTCCAGGTCCTTAGCTTTTGCTGCTCCAGGCCGGGAATATTTAAAGCAGCCTTCTTTTGGTAGGGAGGGGAAGATGCTGGAGGAGCGGGATTTCAGCCCCGCACCTGTCCTGGAGCCTTTAGGAACCCAGGCTGGCGCCGTCGGTGGCGCCCGCGACCACGCCCTCAGCGGGCGGGGTGGTGCCGGGCCTGAGCCCGTGTGGGAGGCTGGGCTCCGCGCTGCGTCCCAGAAATTGCCGGCAGAAGCTCCTAAGTGGTTTGCAGGCGGAACGTGTCGAGAAATACGGAGGCTGCACAGAGCACTGCCCTCCGGGACTCGCAGGCGGAGAGAAGGCGGGAAAGGGCGTCAGCGTTTGCTCTCTGCGCCTGGAGCTTCGAGAAGAGGTGATGGCACAAAGGAGCACTCGACTCCCTGCGCACGGTTAACAGAAAGGAGGATGATTCTGTAGCTCTGATGTGAGCACCTGAAACCCTGCAGTCCCACACCCCACTAACTCCAACGCCGCCTATATAGCATATGGAGTAGTTTTAGCTTCATGCCGGACAGTCCTACGGCCCCAGGGCTGGTGAGCTGGTTTAATGCACTGTCAGCCTAAAAAGTCCCAAATGAACCCTACGCCTCTCTGAATTCTCTTGTTCTACAGGCACTGAATACGTTCATCAGAAACAGAATATTCATTAACATTTCGAAAGTGGAGCTGTGTCTTGGGCCTCCCCTACCATTTACAACCCCGGGTCAGAAGTACCAATGGAGAACCCTCGTTCCACTTTTCTTCCAAGCCCAGGCTCCGTCCTGTACCTCAAGGGGCATTCAGCACACACTGACCAGTGTATCCGAGCTCTTTGTCGCCCCAGCAGCAGCCCCTTGACCACCCTTCGGGCCTAGGGTGCATATTGCGGCCCACCACTCCCTCTGAAGAATGGACCGTGGGGAGAGAAATCCCCGAGAAAGAGCTGGCTCTGAGCAAAGAGGCAGGCAGCCAGAGGAGGGCCAGTACCAGGGCCTCTAAAGAGCGAGAGGTGCAGCAGGGCCCCGACTGCCCAGGTCTAGGAGAATGCCTAACAGGGACATCTATTTGGGAATGATGAGGGGCTGGGGGGCAGGGAGGAAAAATGCCTTTGGTTGAACAAAATAAATGGACTACTCTTGATAGGGTGGAGAATAAGATGATAGGTGAATTTTCTCCTATGGTGCTCAGACATTCTTCAAAGTAAGCCAGAATTGTATTAGTTGGCTATGCTTTCCTTCAATGACAGACAAATCCTGAAATTCTGAGAGAATAATTTCGGGGTGGGACCCAGGGATTTGCATGTTAAGAACAGCCCAGGTGACCATGAAGCCGACTGATGGATGTCCCATGAACACGAAATGGGGAAGTAGGGCAGAACCATTAAAACTGCTTATAATCAAGTCAGGTAAACAAAAACAAAACCCTCTCAGAATAGCAATGGGTTCATCACAGTATGTTCACTGTAATGAAAAAACACTAACTTTCTGGCTTCATTTACTGGATTTCTCTGCTCTCTCTCTCTGCCTCTGTCTTCACTAGGCTTCAGCAATGGGCCTGCAGCAAACACATGAGCATTCCCGGTTGACTTCTAAAGGTGGAAAGGCCCGGCGGGTGTCCCTTTGAAATCTCTGAGGTTGGAAAGCAGTCTCTCCCAAGAAGAACTTAGGACAGTTCCTCTGTCTGTTTTGTGGGGGTTGGAGGGGGAGAGTTGGTCAGGAGTAGCCAGCTTATTTCCTACCCATGCTCCTCAGGCTCAAATCCTGCCCCACCCTGCAGCCCCAGTCCTAGCCCATTTAAGACCCCTGTTTTGTGTGTGATTATACAGGATTTGAACACTGAATATTAACCATGGAATAGCAGACCGTTGAGACTGACTTGCTTTATTTTCCTCTGCGGAGTTAGGTTCCACTTTGTAGTTGGGGTTTGTAATGTAACGAATAATGGGAAACTGGTCTAGTTATGGGAGTTAAAGGAGAGCAGAGGCCTGTAGTTGGCCTGCCCCCCCCGCCCCACCATCCCTCAAAGTTGAGACCACTGAGTTGACCATCCTCTTAATTTCTCTCACTTTTCCCCCAGATTTGTTTCATCCTGTACTGGACTTCTCAAACTGTACATAATTAAAAATACATAGCTTTACATTTTTACAAACTTAATACCTGAATATATGCTTGTTGTCAAATACTCAAACTTCACAGAAAGTTTTACAGAGTAAAAAGTGGAAGTTCATGCCCACATCCAATCTCATTCCTTCCCCAGTGGCAGCAGTTTGTGTGTCTATTTCAAATTAAATTAGCATACCATATGTTCTCTGAAATGTGGGAAGTGAGCCTTTTTTCTTAGGGTAACCTAAAACCTACAGGACAAACTGGATCAGCTTATTTACTCTATTGTGATGGCTACGTTAATATTTAAAGTACACAGTGATATGTGCCATTGTGATCTTTCTGCTCATCAAACAATACTGCATAAGTGTAGTTAATACGATCATTCTCAAGAGGCTTAAAAATGTAAATGTATTTCCTTATATTTCACTAACAGTGAAACTTTTACCATTTCTGAAAGCTGTCTTTCTGTTTATTTTGCAGCTAATCTCTTTGGATTAAAAGAGGTTTCCAAATCTGTGGTCAATATCTAAGGTTACTCAAAGCAGTATTTTTAAACTGTTTTGGTCTCTCGGAAGATTGGTCTCACTAATTTTTTTTATCACCATCATACACTCTTCTGGAATCATATAATGAAGATTTGATGACAAGGAATATAGAATTCAAATTTTAGTATATCTGTTTGTATTTTGTGTATTTAGCATATTTACATTTATGTGTAAATAAACAGATGGTACATTCGGTTCCCATAATTTAATAATTACTGTTCAGGCATATCTAAGGAGTAAAATAGTTTCAGCAAAATAAGAGAGGCTTTGTAAATCTTATATTTAATTTTGATAGGGAAATAGGCAATGATACCATTACTTGGTGAATTATTATTTTAACTTTGAACATCTTTGAGGCACAAAAAATTCAAGAATTTTTACAAACACAAAGTTTAAAAAAAGAAGACACACTCTGAAGGAATTAGGCTTGGAAAGTCCTCAAATCTAGACTAATAAAAGGTCGTAAATATCTCCTGGGACCAAAACAAAAATACCACCAAATGATCTGTTTCAGAAGGATGAATAGATAGTTGCTCACACAACTAAAATCTAAACCAGGGTGATAGTGGTAAGGTTGTGCCCACTGTGTAAGTATTTTTATTTATTTATTTATTTTTGAGAGACAGTTTCACTCTGTTGCCCAGGCTGGCATGCAGCGGTGCAATCTCGGGCTCACTGCAACCTTCACTTCTAGGTTCAAGCAATTCTCCTGCCTCAGCCTCCCTAGTAGCTGGGACTACAGGAACACGCCACCATGCCCAGCTAATTTTTTGTATTATTAGTAGAGACAGGGTTTCGCCATGTTGGCCAGGCTGGTCTGGAGCTCTGACCTCAAGTGATCTTAGCTTCCCAAAGTGCTGGGATTACAGGGGTGAGCCAATGCATCAGGCCTACAAAGTATTTTTTAAAGGTTTTTAAAATATATATATTGAAATTGGGCAAAATGTATGTGCTGTGGAGAGTACGGAAGGCAGGCAGAAAATTTAGATTTTTACAATATTATTTGAAAAGAGCTAATTTCATAAATATAATTTTCCTCTTTTTTTTTTTTTTACTATATTGTGCTAAAGATAATTTGGAAAAAAGGTGTCTCCTAAACTACTTTGTAAAAGGATGTTTAAATCCAATTTTTAGTGAAATCGTAAATTCTGTGTTGTATACTTACCTGTGGGCAGTGCAATAAGGATGCTGGACTGAGACCCAGGTTTGAATCCTGGCTTTTTAGTATATAGCCATGTAATCTTAAGCATATTACTTAATCTATGGGTGGAGGTGGAGAGGAATTTTACTTGTTACATGTCTTCTCTGAAAAGAATTATACCTATTTCACAGGGTTACTACAAGAGTTAAATGAATATTGTATGCAAGTTTCCTAATACCGTTATTGACACATCATAGGCCCTTAATAAATGAAAGCTATTACTTCTAGCTTTTATGACAACAGGGTTGGGCCTTGAGACACCTTATATCCACACTGTGATCATTAAGAAGTGGAGGTAGGGTTGACAGAAAAAATACAGGATGTGTAGAGTTGAATTTGAATTTAAGATACTTTTTTTTTTTTTTTAAGAATATGTGCAATGTGATATTTGGAACATATACTAAAAAATTATGTATCTGAAATTCCAATTTAACTGGGTGTATTATGTTCTTATTTACTAAATCTAGTAACCCTGAGGGGAAGAATAATGAGATGTGTTCAACAGAGAGGAACCTGCTAGATTGCCTCAAAATACTACCAATTTTGTTTACCTCAAGTTGGCCAAAAAACGTCTTTGCCCACTAGTTATTCAGCCAATACACT